GTCCTCCCTCCCCCCACACCAATCGAGGGCAAGGCTGGCTGACCCACAGCCCCTCCCATGGCCAGACCAACCCTGATTGGGCCTCAGTCTGGGCTGGGCCAGACAGACCCACACCTGTGCACGAATTTGTGCACTGGGCCTCTAGTTGATCAATAAAATCAGATATTCTTTCCCCCATTCTTTTTCTCTTTTCTTTCTGTCATGTTCAAAAGCCCGAGCCATGTGGTTATGTCCTAATAGAGTTCCTAAAGTCTCCTCTCACCAGTTCCTCCTCCAGTTTGCAGCAGGTAGTTCTGTTCCACCAAGTGCTTGGAATCACTGAGACTGGTAGTTTCAGGAGATGGTTTCCATGGCAACCCCAAGCTCTTTCTACACTGAGATGCTGACTGATTTTCAGTCTCTGGAAGCACTTGAGTGTGCCCACTGCCCATCCTAATTGATGATGCTAGAGGACCTTCCTAAGAAGGCAGCCTTTAAAACCCAGCACCAAATCCTGTGCACCGAAAGGTTGTGGGTTCAATTCCTGGTCAAGACATATACAGAGTGATTCCACAGATGAAAAAAAAAGTAGGTTGCCAGTTTGATCCACAATTGCGGCATGGATGGGAGGCAACTGATCGGTGTCCTCCCTCCCATCCTCCTTCCCTCCTTTCCTCTCTCTCTAAAATAAATGAGCACATCCTCAGGTAAGGATTTAAAAACTGAGCACTGAGCGCCTGAAACTAATACTAAATAATATTTATTGTAAACGAATTGAAAGTAAAACAATGAAGACTCACTCATCAGGGAAAACAAAACAAAACAACCAACCAAGCACTTTGCAGAGAACAACCTGTTTGCCGTTGTTGAAGTCAACACAGCACACAATTTTCCAGACACACGTCACTGGATTTGCTGATTGCTATCGCTTCCTCTGAGGAGTTCGCTTTTCCAGATGAAGTCACTGGAACAGAATGGCCGTGCCAGGTACGCGGGCCAGTAGGAAAAGTGTCCTGTTTCACTATCACCTCCGGCCTCACTCCCTGAGCGCCCAGCTGGGGAGGCGGCTCCAGGCCGGGGAGAAGCAGAGAGGATGCCCGGGCCGAGGCTGGAGGCAGAGCGGACCCAGGACCTGGGCCCCAGCTGGGCCTGAGCCACACTATGGCTGCTGACCCCTTTGTGGTCTAGCTCAGCGTGTGCAGTAGTGTTTATAAAAGAACCCTATCACCAGAGTTAAAACATCTTCACATTAATGCCCCATTACTTTCCATCTGTGGAACCAGTCTGTATGAATAAAAATGACCCAGACTTTTCAGTTCAGCTTCTCCCATCCTGAATCCTTCCAGGTCTTTCTCAGGTGATTGCCACGTGTCATACATGGACTAGAGCAGCGGACATGACAGACAAAGCCCTGCCCGCCCAGAGCTGTGTGCCGTGCGGGGCAGTCAGTGGGCAGCACCGTTAAGTGAACAGCAGCTTGTTGGAAGGAAGCGTGTGCTCGGAGAGAAAGCAGAGACAGAGAAGGGGCCTGGGAGTGGCCGGAGGGGGAGGGAGGTGGGGGGGAGGACCTGCCTGAGCTGGGGCTGGTGCAGGCCTGAGGGGCCGGGCCTGCCTCCTGCTGGGCTCCCTGCAGGAGGACCTGGAGCAGGTGAGCAGGTGTGGCTGTGTGGGCAGCTTCCAGGACGCCTTCCCGCTGCGCTGCCTCTGCCGTGACAGAGAGGCCTTCCCCCGAGGCTGACGGGACGCGAGCCACGGGCGCCCTCGCCCACAATGTCCTTGCCTCACAGCGATAGCCTTTGACCCAGCCTGTTCTGTTGTTTTTCTTTTGGGAACAAGTTAAGGGCATTCCGAGGAGCTAGAGGTGCTTATGTAATCGGCACCTTGTTGCCCGGGTACCTGTTATCAGGCTCAGAGGGGAGGAAGGAGGTGCTGTGCTCCCAGCCCGGGCCAAGGGCACCCCGGCAGCCTCTGTTAACCTCCGAGCCCAGTGAGTCACTGAGGAGTGGCTCTGACTCACCGGTGTTTCCGGAGCCGGACCGGCTCCGGCCTCAGGATGTGCATCCAGCGGCCGGGATGGGGTGCTGGCCGCGGGATGCCTGGAGCACGCCGGTTGCTTTCAGGAGTGGGAGGCGAGAGGTGGTGTTTGTGCATCATTGTACTTTGGTTGTGTCGCTGTGAAGCTTGCTGCTTCTGCAGCCTCTGATGGGCAGACAGGTTCAGACGGAAGCACCTTGTCCCTGTCCCTCGGGCAACTGAACTCAGGCCCCCAGGGGACGGGCACGGGCAGGAGTCTCCTTCCCTCTGTGTAGCATTAGTTTATGGAGCTCAGCATCTGTCCGAGCACCAGGTTTCAGCTTCTCTGGGAAGAACAACAGTCACCTACTGGGCAGTGGACAGTGAAATACACTGACGTCCACTCTGTCCAGCCCTTGGAAAGAGCAGCACTGACTCACCTGGCCCTTATCGTCCCGAGCCACTCACAGCTCGGAGGGAGGGAGCCGGTGATGGCCTTGCCTCACGGGGACAGGCTCTCCGGATGGCTGGCAGAGGCCGCAGGGTGGAATCCGGATACCACTGTCTTCCCAGGAACTTCACCTCCCACCGAGAAGGCCCAGTTAATTATTAAATGCACGTTTATGGGCTGGCTTTGATAAGCACATCTCAGGAACACTCAGTACCATTTGGCAGTACAGCCAGCTAGGTCCACAGCCTGGCACAGCTTGGTGAGGGGTGGGTTTGGCTCAGACCCTAGCAGAGCGAGGGGAGCAGGACCAGGAAGTTGACCGGCCAGATCTCCTTTGGAAGGGACGGACCTGAAAGTTCTCCTGTTCTCCTCAGAAGCCTTGGTTCCCCCACCTTATCAGTGGGTACAAAAGCCAGATCCACATCTCTGCATGGAAAAGTGCTGAGTGATATTCCCTGACAGGCCGGGGCCTTGGGTATTTGGGCGGCGGTGTCACTAAGACAGCCCCGAGAGCCAGCCCCTTCCCTGTGGGAGCAGCCTCCAGCCAAGCAGGGTTCCCGGGTCTGGGGATGACTTGGCGCTGGTCAGGCCGTGTCCTGCGCAGGGTCCTGTGGGAAAGGGGCTGCTGTGCACCAAGGCGGTGCCAGGGCCCACCCGATGCCTGTCAGGCCTTCGTGCTCGGCCTGTGGCCAATGACACACACCCCTGTGATGATGGGGCAGAGGGTTAGTCAGCGCTGTCAGGAGTGTGTGGGTGGCACCCATGCGACTGCCTGGTTATACTTGTGTGCGCTAGAGCTGTGCCTGTGGCGTGCCATATCTGTCTTTGCTTTGAGTGCATTGGGCACACAGCGCGTGTTTACCTTGGGAAGCTCCACCAGATTAACCCTCGTAACTAGCAATAGATCTGAGGTTATGGATCTTAATAACATTGGAGACATGACGGTATCTTAGCACACAGGCAGAGCTGGTGTCAATGCTGGTCTCTGCCCTTCATTACTTGGGCGAACCTTGGGCAAGTTACTTCCTCAAGCATCAGTTTTCTCAACTATAAAGTGTAGACCAAAGCAATGCTAGTAATATTAACAATGGTTACTATTCTGTATAATGAAAGGCTAATATGCTGACCGGGAGTTTGACCACGGGGGCAGAGCCTGCCGGCCAACCTCCCACATCCCTTCTCCCCACCTGCTGGGCCCCACCCGCACAGGGCCTCTAGTCTAATCCTGCACTGGACCTCTTAGAACAATACACGGCCCATAGTGAGAGCTATGGACATCGTAAATAATAATGTAATAGCTCTTACTGTGAGCCATGCATTGTTGTAAGCTCCTGTATGTATGGCCTCATTTGACCTCTCGGCATTTGATTTACTTACTGCTGTCTTTCACAGAGAAAGCCCTTGAGGCACAGAGAGGGCAGGTAACTTGCCCTCTGTTGCCCAGACAGTGAGGAGTGAATTGAGGATTGGAGCCCAGGGAGCCTGGCTCCAGAGCCTTCTTCCTTTCTATGGTTCTAGACGGTCTCACAGGGAATCGTAAGGATTAGATGTGATGACAGGAGGAAAGGACCTAGAACGAACCACGCCTGGCACTGCAGGTGTAGCAGTGAAGGCCATTCTGCCTGCCCCCCCTCTGCGCCCTGCTGGCACTAAGCTGAGGCTTTGACTCCTGGCTTTGTGGTCAGGAGAGGTTTGGTCTGGCTGTGTGATCTGAACACAGGCTGCTGGGAAGGAGGGTGGAGTCCCATCCCTGTGGACAGGTCATGCCACCTCCGTGATCTGTGCTTCCGAACGAACATGCTTCAGCTTCCTTCTCCGCAGGGCAGCAGCTGCCCCTGGACCCTTGTTGGGTTGAGAACACTGCGTCTGCGCTCAGAAACGGTCACTTTCGCCTGCTCGTCTCTACTCTGTGTAGCTGACCCTCACACAAATGGTGTCCGAATAAATTGGTCTGAATTAGGCGTTTCCGTGGCTGAGATGAGTCAGCCATGGGTGGGGGAGGACAGTGCCTGGCACAGTCAGAATGTGCTGGAACCCTGTGGAGAGTGGAGACTCTGTCGAAGGTGGGATTATTCCTCCTCACATGCCCCGATCCTCTCCCTGCTGGATGGCTCGGACAGGCTGGGCAGTGAGCCCAGAGACGCAGGGCTCTGCCTTCATTTGCCAGCTCCGCACGTGCTCTGTGTCTCAACTTCCAGGGACGAGCAGGAGCGTTGAATGAAGGCATCAATCTGCTGATCTCAGAACACACACTGTTCTGAAAATCTTTTAGCTTTTCAGTGGATGGTGAGGAGGTTTACTTGTTAATGTGAAATACACATGTGCATGCATATAACATCCGTGCATGTGTCATGTTTAGAGTTTATTGACCTTCTCCCAACTAAAGGAAACGTTTTAGACTGTTTTGCACACAGGCAGTGATGGGAATGGACATTGTCAATGGGGGCATTGCTTTTACCTTGCGAATTAAAAATCACCATGATACGTTTCTCTCGTAGGCTTGTCTTTGGTTTGGAGTGTCCGCAGCTGACCCGCTGCTCCCCTGCCCTTCAGAAAGATGTCTGTCACTTACGATGACTCCGTTGGAGTAGAAGTGTCCAGCGACAGCTTCTGGGAGGTAATGCCAGCTTTCCCCAGGACACAGAGATCAGGCGATGCCTGCCTGCCTGCCAGGACTGGGGGGGGGGGGGGGGAGGGGGCGGGGGCGGGAGGTGAACATACCCCCAAACCAGCCAGATTTGTGGTCAGATCCGGATGGCAGCAGGATGGCTAAGCTGTCAGGGAAGCCGCCTTGCTAGAAAAGTCAGGTACATAACCGCTTAGAGGTGCTTTAGCGGTCTTGTCAGTTTGTCCATTCTCCGATCTTCCTTTCCTGCTCACCCCTGTAGGACTCAGAGTGAAGCACAACTCACTGGGCTTAGCCTCAAGGGCAGTGTGTGGAAAAGCAGATGGTGGTGATGACATGTGCCGGCCAGTGCAGGCAGTGCAGGCAGATGGCCAGCGGCTCACACACTGCCCAGAGCTGGTGGGAGCATCTTCCTGTCCCTCTGAGCCCGTGAGGAACTCCTTTCCTGATCAGATTATTTTGTGGTTTCGGTAGTCATTCTTCCTGGCCCCACTCTTCCTTCCTCCTGGTTAAAGGAAAGTCCTTTTTTATCCAATTTTATTCTCATGGTAAAACCCTGTGACTGTCCCAGTAGCCATGGGCTTCATGGAAAGAGCACTGGCTTTGTATTTGAAAAGATCTAGGTTCTGCCCTAGCTGCTTTGGCTCAGTGGATAGAGCGTCAGCCTGTGGACTGAAGGGTCCTGGTTTGATCCTGGTCAAGGGCACATGCCTGGGTTGTGGGTTCAATCCCCAGTAGGGGGATGTGCAGGAGGAGGCAGCTGATCAATGATTCTCTCTCATCATTGATGGATGTTTCTATCTCTCTCTCCCTCTCCCTTCCTTTCTGAAATCAATAAAAATGTATTTTAAAAGTGTATATATATTTTTTTAAAAAAAGATCTAGGCTCTGATCCCAGCTGTGCCCTTACTAGCTGTGTGACTTGGGCAAGTTGCTTGGCTGAGAGGAGCCTCGGGCTTTTCCTCTGTAAAGAGAGAGTGGTGCTGGCCTGTGAGGGAGGCAGCCAGAATGGAGCGAGAAGGCAGACACATCTCCCACACGGTGCTTTCCTGGTGGCCGGCCTCACTGGGGATGAGCACAAAGGAGTGGTATAAACTTGGAATAATTAAGAGTATGATTTTGTCTGACATCAAATACCACCTGATATCATAGACTAATAGACAAGTGATCACAGGTGGCCAAGGAGCTGAAACTTCTATCCACACTTCTCTTTCCTCTGTATTGGGGGAAAGCCCAACATTAACTTTTAACGGAATACTCCATTTTATTAAAAGTATGTGTTTGTTCATCACCTCCTGTGTGATAGGCCCTGAGAGGCCCCAACAAGGAAAGTGGCAGTCTGAGTCCCTCCCTCCAGGCGGGTAGCCGGCTTCCGTGGGATCAGAGTAAATGAAATAGCACAGGGGGTGCCAGTGCCCTCTGCCCCTGCCCCTTGGCTGGTCGCACCTTCCTGGTGGGTATCTGGGCCGGAGCTCCAATTTCAGTGGCCAGAGGGACACATTGTCTGAGGGAACATTTCTCAGAAGGCAGCAGCAGCATCGTAATGGAGCATGTCCACAAGAGTGACAGGGGCAGCGACAGAGCCAGGGGCATGTCCTGCCTGTGGGCAGTGGCGGCTTCCTGGCATTGTCAGGGGCACTCGCCCTGCGTAGGGCATGTTGGTGGTGAAGCTGGAAGGAGCTGTTAGAACTGGTGCTGGGATTCAGACTGTCCCTCTGCCCCGTTCGCACAGGCAGGCCTGCCGCCAGCCCCAGGAAGGCTGTGCGCTCTGAAGGACGCTCAGCAGCCGGCGGTGGAGTGCTTCAGAGTCTCGGGGAATTTTTTCCCAATGCAGTGACCTTGCGTCCCGTAGTACTCAGCACCGCCCTGAGCTAGGAGGGGCCGGGCGCACAGGCCGTCAGGAGACAGACAACACGGCAGCGGGCAGGTCCAGATGTGTGCTTTGGAGCCAGGTGACCTGGGCTTGACTCCCAGGCTTGTCACTTCACATGTGTGTGGCTTCGGGCAGGTTGCTCATTTGCCTTTGCCTCCATTTCCCAATCTGTGGAGGGGGAGGGATGCTGCACCCACATCCCAGCACTGTGGGGCGAAGGGAATGAGGAGTGTACAGCGGTGGGAGGTGTGGGGACGGACTCTGGCTGTGGTGGTGGGTCTCGGCGCGCACGCGTGCCTGTTGCTGCAGCCGCGTCGGCGTCACCTGTGATGACCCATTGGTGACAGAGCCGCCTGGGAAATGAAGCAGCTGAATGGAGTGCGTACAGAGTCTGCAGCTGCCTGGTTAAAAAAAAAAGGTGGAGTTGCCAGAACATGCCATCAGCATACATTAAATCAATATGCTATCAGCATATGTTAAATCCAGTGGCTTTAACAAGCCATGATTAAGCTCTTAGCGCCCATCTACGTTCTTAACTGTCATGCTGTCGGGAGACAAGAACATCTGCTTTTGCCTGAAGAGAGTTCATTGTCTAGGCAGGCTCCGTGCACCCCGCTCGCTCGCCCTGGAACGTGCCTCAGGAGTGGAGGCAGCAGAGTGCTCAGGCCAGGGCTGCAGGTTAAGGGCACGCGTGATCTGAGGCTAACATAAAGGTCATAGTGAGCGAGCGGTTTTATAGTCTTCAGGTTTGGGGCTCCTGAGAGCCTTGCCAGCACATGGCAGGACCAGGGACAGGGCCTGCATGCTTCCTGCCAGGCCTGACCTCTGTGGCCTTCCCTGGATCCTGGGCAGCGCACAGTCACCTGATAGCAGCCCCTTCCATCTGGGCTCTGTGCCTCTGTTCGGGCCTGAGGAATGCTCTGGAAGGTGGGCTCTGCCTCCTGGCTGATGGTCATGGGGGACTTGGCTTCTTCACAGCTGTTTCCTTTTCTGTAAAGCGGGAGCATGAGCAGCACCCCTGCCTAGGATTGTGACAGACTCGGCGATGTGGCCCGGGTGGAGCTGTCAGCACACCGCCCAGCCCGGTGCTCGGTAACCGCATGCGGACATGCTCTATTATGATGCTGCAGCTGCATCTGCTGGGGAAGCACCGTGTGCACCTGCTGCCAGGGGCCTGCAGCCCAGCACGGGCAGGGAGCTAACATGCACCATCGTCACCTGTGCGGGACCAGCTGCGACTGCGGGGCATGGGGACAGCGTTCGGAAGGGCCCTCCTCTCCCCCGGGTGGGCCAGCCAGCAGGAGTCCGGGCTGGGGGACTGGTGTCGCCTGTGCTCCAGTGCAGGCGATCCGGGTGCTCTGCGCTGGTGGTCCCACTGGGGCGGCAGGCGGCAGGGAAGCCGCCCTGGGGAAGCCAAGCTGAGCCTCAGAGCGCTGGAATTCTGGCAGGTAGGATGGGACACTTCATCAGCCCGTCTGCTCCCTTTCCCCGCTGCCTTGGACACTCAGTCCCCTCCCCTCTCTGACGTCATCCTTGTGCTAGCTCTCCTCCCTGCTGGGTCCCCAGCTCACACCTTCCCCAGGGGCTTCACTGCCCAAGGCCCACCAGGGCCTGCGCACAGCACCCTCAGCCTTCAGGGTGAAGGCCCGCCCCTGCGATTTCTCCCTGTCTGACCCCGCCTGACCCTGGCCAGGCCTCTGCTCATTGCCCTGCGTTCTGTGTTCTGTGTTCCATTCCTGGTGGGTGACTCACAGTGCCCCCAGGTCTCCATGTTGCCACCCTTCTTCACTTTGCCAGTGCTGTTCCCTGCCTGGAAGCCTTCCCCTCGCCTCTCCATTACTGTGGCCAGCTCCGACTTGCCCTCTAATGTGCCAGCCTCCTTGGAAGTCCAGCTGGGATGTTGCCTTCAGTATACCTCTCCACTCCGCCACTCTCCACCCCGCCCTCCCCACCCACCCCTCCCTCAGCCAGGCAGTTCTGGAGGGAGGACTAGCATCATGGCCTGTGCCCAGGCACACGCGTACTGAGCGCCTGTCTTCAGCGTCTTCTGTCTGAGGGGTGAGCCCGGATGTAGGTGAGGTTAGGGACACAGATGGCTTTGCGGTGCCGGTCACCTTGAGCAGTCCTGTCTCCCCGTGGCCAGCATGGTCACGGTGCCGGCACTTAAACGTACAACATCCTTCCTGTCTGTACTCCTTCCTGCCTCTCAAGAGTCGTTATTTAAATATAAGTGTGGCAAAGGAAGGCTTACAGTTGTTTGAATGGAAAATAATACAATAATTAATAAATAATAATACAGAAATAAGCTGGATTTCACATACAACTGTAAACCTACTTTTGCTCACGTTGTGTGAGCTGATGGGTTGTACCAACATGAACCTTGTTAAGAAAAATCCTTTTCTTTTCTGTAAATCTTTCCTCACGGGTTTGGAAAGTCAGAGATGGCAGGTTGCTGGGGGGCCAGCATGTTTTGAATATTGTCGGTGACTGGGATGAAAGCCAGCTCACGTGGCGGCTGCCTGGGCACTGTCAGGTGTGAATGGGCTGTGGTGACCTCAGCTCTCCTGCCACCAGCTCAGCGACACTGACTTGGGTTTTGTTTTGTTTTTTTAAATAGATTTTATTGATTTTAGAGAGGAAGGGAGAGGGAGAGGGAGAGGGAGAGAAACATCAATGATGAGAGAGAATCATTGATTGGCTGCCTCCCACATGCCCCTTATCGGAGACCGAGCCCACAACCCAGGCATGTGCCCCTGGTCAGAATCGAACCTGGGACCCCTCAGTCCGCAGGCTGACGCTCTATCCACTGAGCCTAACCAGCTAGAGCCTCCCTTGGGTTTTGTTGGTGATTTTTTTCATCTTGCTGTAAATTTCAAAATGACAGCAAGGCCCTATTTTAAATGGAAAGTGAGGTTGTGACATGCCCGCTCTCGCCTTCCTAAGAAGGGGCTGCTGAAGGGGCGGGCTGGAAGCTCGAGTTCAGCCTGAGTGTGCTGGTGAGCTGCTCACCCGCTTCCCTGGCTGGGGCTGCGGAGGGAAAATAACAGTGATAAATGGTGCCGGTGTTTGTGAACTTCTGCTGCTGCAAACCCCGGTGCCTCTGGGGAAGGCTGCCAGGCCACCTGACTTCCAGGGCTTCTGTCCCCACGGGAGCGGGAGCGCCACCTCAGTCCCTCCCCCATCGCCCATCTCCCTGCAGGCCTGCCTTCCCGGGCTCCTCCCCCCACTCCTCAGAACCGCCTTCACCGGTGAGCGGGCTCAGCGAGGCTCAGGGAGGAGCAGTGCCGCTGGCCGCAGCCTGAGGACCCTGCCCTTTGTGGTTCTCCAGGAGCTTCCAGCGTCACACTCGGCAGGGGTGAAGCAGGAGCATGCTCAGCCAGGCAGAGACTTAGGGACGGTGACGCTGGCAGAAGGTGGCTGGGGGTTTGAAGACAGGGAGAAAGGGGCTGAGAATACAATAGATGGCTTTTCTGCCCCGTTTCCTCCTGAACCAGCTGTGTCTGGCGTCCTCTCAAGTCAGCAGCTCCGAATGAAACACTGAACACTTGGTTATCGCTCCAAATTAGCCACTAGGGTCTTCTCCATTATCCCTTGTTATTTACATTTTGGAAGAGCTAGTCTCTCCTTTCATATGTGAGAAAAAGTGGCCCAAACTCACCTCCGTCCTTGTCACAGCAGAGAAGGGTCTGCACCTGTGGGCTCTTGGCAAACTCAGCCTGGTCTCTTCATCTTAGACGGGGACCGCTCTCCTGCTTGGCACATAATAGTGCTCAGTAAGTGGGAAACAGTGTTGATTGCTATGATTGGGAGGCAATATAATCTGGCAAGTGATGACTTCAAGGCAGAAGACACCTGCTTATACACATGATGATCTAAGGCCTTTAGCCAAGTCTGTAATGTAAGATCCTTTCTAAAACATTATTATTATTATTTTATTTTTATTTTTATTTTTTAAATCTCTCTAGTTAGGCATCACCTCCTCTGGAGAGCTGACCCTGGCCCCTCAGTCTGCGTGAGATGCCCCCCTGGGTGCCCTAAGCCCCCTCACTTCCCTCCATGGTGCCGCCCCTGAGCTGGTCTGTCTCCCTCCCTGACCCCCAGGCCAGAGTGGACACTGGCCAGGTGGACACCGAGAAGCTTCCCGTGGCTTCCAGTGGTTCTGTGGTTCCTGCAGCTGAGAGAAGGCGGGGCTTGGCACCAATGACGTGGGGAGCCTTCCAGTGGGAGAGGGCTGAGCCGTGAGGAGCCGGCGGCGTGGCTGTTGGACAGCAATGAGGCCCGGGGGTCTGGCAGGTGGGCTGCTGCCCAGAGTCCCTCCCAGCGCGCCCGTCTCCTAGGTCGGGAACTACAAGCGGACCGTGAAGCGGATCGACGACGGCCACCGCCTGTGCAGCGACCTCATGAACTGCCTGCACGAGAGGGCGCGCATCGAGAAGGCGTACGCGCAGCAGCTCACCGAGTGGGCCCGGCGCTGGAGGCAGCTCGTGGAGAAGGGTAGGCAGCCCTGCCTGGCACAGCTCTGGGCACACCGTGACCTCTCTGTGCCCGTTTCCTCTCTCAGAGGACGTGGGCAGGAGTGCGTCTTCAGCTCTGGGCCGGGATTCACTGGGAGAGACGGGTGCGGCCACCCAGCCACACAGGCTGCGTGCGATTTCCTCTCCCCACCCTGGGACAGCCTCTGCGTCTCCCACGGAGGCTGCACTCGCCAGTTTAACGCAGAACAGCTCCCGGGGCCCACCCGAGAGAGCCCCGCCCGAGCGGAAGCCTGGCGTGCAGCCCCGAGGTGCCGGCCTGAGAGCCGCGGAGGTGTGAGCTCGCATGTAGGAGCCAGGCGGGACTGGATAGGACATCCAGCAGCGCTTCCGTTCTGGAGTTTAATGGAGCGACGGGTTTGCCTCTCCCCTGTGGCCCACCAGACGATTCCAGAGCTTAGAGACAGAGGCTGCTGTGGGCATGGATGGTGCTCGGTGCCCTTCCCAGCAGTGGGGGCACTGACTGGGCCTGGGTGCCCTGGGACAGCGGTTGGTAGGAGTTTCTCGGTGTGTTTCTCAGGTTCTCCTGTGACCGCTGTCCTCGAAGGTCAGGTCCTGGGGGCCAGGGTTCTGAGGGCAGGAGCGGCTGTGCATGCTGAGGAGCAGTCAGGCAGGGCCAGTCCCTCAGTGAACGGTGGCTGCTGCTGTTCGTTCTGCCTCGCAGGATCCAGCTGTGGACACAGTCCCTCTGTCCGTTCGGAGCTTGAGGCTCTTGCCCCTCGCCTTGTAGGTCCTGCCCGGCATTGTGGATCCAGGCAGGACAGGGAGTGCGTGTTTCATAGACGCTGGGGACTAGAGGGTCCGAGGGGCTCACCACTGCCCTCCCCAGTGCCTCTGTGTCATCAGCTCAACAGTGATTGTCCCCTGAGAGTGCCTTGAGACAGGACCTGGGCTTCCATGTTCGTCCCCAGCTCTGCCTTTGTCCCTCCCTCACCTCATGCCACCCCACATCCTCAATGACAGGCCGCTGTGCATTTCCTTCCTGAGACCAGTGGGTGAGTGACTCAGGCACCCCACCCCACGATCTAGAGATTTCCATCTGGCCCAGAGCAGGTTCCTGCCTCCAACTCCTCCTCCCCAGGACAGAGGACTCTGCGGGGGGCACAGCCCACCCTCCCAGCCGGCTCTTCCTGGGAGTGAGTGACAGGCCTGGCTCAGCCCTGGGAGGGAGCGTGTGGTCCAGGAGGCGGGCCACAGTGCTGAGGAGCTCCCCAGAGGGAAGTGTCCTCGGAGAGCGGTCAGCTCTTCCCAAGGCCCCTCCCCCAACAGCTGGCCTTACCCAAACTAAAACAGCAGGAATTTGAGTTTTTAAAGCGCCCAGCGACTTCAAAAAAGGAAATTTATGTAACTCTCAAGTTCCCTAGCAAAAGAATGGCCGAGCTGATTGAGCTTCAGTTCCTTATTCTTCTATCGTCCCAGGAACTGAAAAGGGAACAGCGCTGAGAGGAAAGTATCTGAAACAACCACAAGGAAGCCTCCTGGCCAGACGGCCAGATGGCGGGAGAGGCGGACAGGGAGCCCGGGGCCTGTCCCGCAGGGCGGTGACGCAGCTTCTCTGTGCAGGGCCGCAGTACGGGACGGTGGAGAAGGCCTGGACGGCCGTCATGGCCGAGGCGGAGAAGGTGAGCGAGCTGCACCTGGAGGTGAAGGCCTCCCTGATGAACGAGGACTTCGAGAAGATCAAGAACTGGCAGAAGGAGGCCTTCCACAAGCAGATGATGGGCGGCTTCAAGGAGACCAAGGAGGCCGAGGACGGCTTCCGGAAGGCGCAGAAGCCCTGGGCCAAGAAGCTGAAAGAGGTGACCCTCCCGCAGGCCCTTCCCCCTGCAGGTCCCTCCCCGCCCTGCAGACTGTGCTCCTGGCGGGGGGCCTGTGCCTGGTCCTCCCCAGCAGCGCTCCCTACTCTCAGGAATTCCTGCCCTGTTAGCATCAGAAATCAAGGGCCACCCTCAGGCCATACGCCTAGTGGCTCACTTCAGTGGGATCCTTATGGACCCATTTTAGTCAGGACTCTGGGATCAGGTGCTGTGATGGAGCTCAAAACCCAATCTCGTAGCCACTAGCAGTACCTCCCCAGCCTGGGACTTGTCTGCTAGAGATTTAAAAGTCCCTTTGGGCGAGGAGAAAGGGGTAGTTTAAAACTTTTCTCTCAAATTTACAAATGATACTGAGATTTGTTTCTGAAAGGAGCAACCAAAGCCACTGAGTCTTGTGGCTGCTGGAGGCTTTCCCGACACACGCCCTTCCCTGGCCAGCCCCTCCCCCTCCACCCCCCTGGCTTCTCAGGAATGCACCGTCCTCCTCAGAATCACTCCCTCATGCCTGCCTTCTGGTGGGAACTGTGTCAGCTTTTGTCCTTCCGCTGTCCCTGGCCTCTTTGCAATGACACTACCCCCCTCATGTGGCCATGGTTACAAGCTCATCTCCCAAATGAACCCATGACTGGCCAAAGTAAGGAAGCTCCATAAATAATCAGACACACGCCAGAGCCTGTGGCCCGCCTTCCGGAATCTCCCCTCTGTGGTAGGTGTCTCTTGTGCAGCTTTCTCCGCGTTTGCTGTTTTTGCTGCTTGGCGTGCTCTTCCCTCAGGTGGCACCCCCCCCCCCGCCCCGCCTCCTTCTAATTCTTGCTCCATGTCACCTGGGAGCTTTCTCCAGGCCCAGCTCCACCCCCGGCTTCCCGACTCTCTTCCTTGCTTTCCTCTCCTTGGCACTTACCACTTCTAATTTACCCTGAACCTGAACTATTTCTTATAGTGGCCTCCCCCGCTAGACCAAAAGCCCCATGAGTGCCCAGGTCCTCGGTTGGTGCCATACCTCATTCTGGTGCCAGGACGGCGCCTGGCTCACAGCAGCACCGGTCAGTGTCCGTGAATGGGCCTGTCATTACCGCGTGGTGACACCGAGCACAGCTCTGCACCCGCGCTTCCCTCGCCTCCTGAGAGCACAGGCACTTCCCGGGTCTCTGCGTCGGGTGAGGAGTCTGACCTTTCAGAATCCCGAGGTTCAGCAGCTCCTCCCTGCAGGTAGAAGCAGCAAAGAAAGCCTACCACGCCGCATGCAAGGAGGAGAAGCTGGCGATTTCTCGAGAAAGCAACAGCAAAGTGGACCCGTCCCTGAACCCTGAGCAGCTTAAGAAATTGCAAGACAAAGTGGAAAAGTGCAAGCAGGATGTTCTTAAGGTAAATCACGCACCTCTCCCGCCGTGTATCTGGCAGCCTGGCTGCCTGGGTGGAGAGGGACGCAGTCACCCGCACTCCTGCCCTCAGAGGGCCTCTCCAGGGCTCCCGTGCTTGGGCTAAGGTGCGGGGCAGCTGGGTGGCTGTGGGCAGAGAGGGGGGAAAGAAAGCTTGTGCAGGACTCGGAAGTGTGAATGTCCCAGGGGAGCTGATGTATGAGCTGACACGGTTTTTTTTGTTTTTTTTTTCCTTACGTATGGATCTTTTTCTTTTTCTTTTTTAAAAAATATTTTATTGATTTTTTTTATAGAGAGGAAGGGAAGAGGAGAGAGATAGAGAGATAGAAACATCGATGAGAGAGAGACATCGACCAGCTGCCTCCTGCACACCCCACACCAGGGATGTGCCCGCCACCAATGTACATGCCCTTGACCGGAATCGAACCTGGGACTTTTCAGTCCACAGACCGATGCTCTATCCACTGAGCCAAACCGGTTTCGGCGACAAGGGAGGTTTTGAGGACCACATTGCTAGTGCCCTTGAAAGTCAGGCAAAGTAAGGCTTTTGCGATGCTGCAGACGGAACCTCTGCAAGAAGGGAGGGCAGAGGTGGCGGACCAGGCGGTTCAGAGCGATTGCTCTGAGGTGGAAGCGAGTCCCATGGCGGGTGGGGGCTGGGCGTTGGCCGCAGGGAGCCGAGGGCCTAGCTGGAGGTTCTTCTGCAGCCTCAGCATGAGGGTCCCAGAGCGGCAGGAGCCCGGGTGGTGGGACAGGTACTCTCTGTCAGGAAGAGACTGAGACTGAGCAGGTAGTGTGGCTTCCGGCCATCTATGTCTTCACTGTGAATGGTCCCCCTCCTTCCCCTGCAGTGGATTAGGGAGAAGATCAAACAGGATGTTTTTTAGGGCTCCCAGGTGCAGGCGGCCTTCCGCCTGGGAGGTCTGGTCCCGGGACTTAAACACGAGCCAGCCCCAGTGATTGAATAGTTCCCAGGAAGTGGGCTGGGCCTGGGCCTGGCCTCCAGCTTCCAGCCCTGTCTGCTTTGCTCTGGAGGAGAGAGAGGCTGCTACTGGTGCAGGAAATAGAGCGGGGTGCTTCTTAGATGCAGGTCACAGCTCCTCACTGCTCATTCCTTATAAAGCCCCCGCGGCGGCTGGTGTGGTGTTGCCACTCCATAAGTAATTCAGAAGCGGTGGAGGGCTCAGCCCGAGGGCCCGCGTGGCAGAGCCTGGCTCGCCCTCTCTTGGCGGTGACCTCCCTCCGTCGTCTTGCAGACCAAGGAGAAGTACGAGAAGTCCCTGAAGGAGCTGGACCAGAGCACCCCGCAGTACATGGAGAACATGGAGCAGGTGTTCGAGCAGTGCCAGCAGTTCGAGGAGAAGCGCCTGCGCTTCTTCCGGGAAGTTCTGCTCGAGGTCCAGAAGCACCTAGACCTGTCCAATGTGGCCAGGTAGGTGTCCTTCTAGCCACAGCGTGTCACGGGGCAGGCAGCGGAAGGTGCTCGGTCACTGGTCTCAGGATTCGGGGTGCAGTGCTGGCCAGGTCTCGTGGTGGTGAAGTTCCCCTGCCCAGGGCGAGCCCCCCTGCTGAGCCGTCGCCGTTGCTCGCAGCAGCCGGTCACTGGCCTGAGCCCCCGGCCCCGTTCCGCGCGCCAGGGCTGCTCTGCCAGCTCTGTGTGCGGCGCTGGGTCCACGCTCGGGCCGGCTGCAGCTCGGACTGGCTACGTTGGTGGGTTTGAAGTCACCTGGTGCCAGTACAGCATTTCCGGGCTGGCATGCCCTGCCCCCATGATGTCTGACCTTGCGGCCCCTTATAAGTCCTCTCTGTCCAGACTAGCTGGCCGCCAGCTCAGTCCTAGACTTCTCAGTGGTCCCAGGCCCGGGCAGCACAGACCCTCGGAGACTCAGATCTGAGTTGTGCTGGGAGCCTGGGAAGCTTTTTCTGCTCTTCTCTGTCTCTGGTCCCATGATGCCTTGGTTCAGGGCAGAGGTCTGGGCAACCCTGGACATAGACTCCTGCCAGCCACAGAGCAGGGCCTGTTACCAGGAAATTATATCCCCTATGTCTCCTTCTGTTAAAACAAAAGCAACAGTCCCTGCCACCATTTAATTCATCTTATGACAGTCTATAAAGTAGGTGGCATTGTCTTACTTGTGAGGTGACTGAGGCTGGGTGAGGCTCAGTCACTGCCTGAGGCCACCCAGCTGGCTGGGGCCGGGCTGGGCTCCTCTCTCTGTGGAATAGTCCCCCACGGGAGTGCTTGTCCTCGGTCACAATTTGGCCTTGCTCAGCCCTCCAAGCCCTCTGGCCAGTAGATGGGGTGGCAGAGTGTGAGGGCTGCTGTAACAAATCACAGCCTGGTGCTTCCCTCTCTCCCGGAGCTGCAGTCCGCAGCCTGGTGTGGGCAGGGCACACTCCTCAGCAGTCCCGGTGGAGTCCCTGCCGGGGCCAGCTGTAGCGTCTGCTGTGGGCCCTCTCCTTCCCAGGCACAGACCCTCACCTCAGTCACATGGCCATCCTCCCTCTCCGGGTCTATGTCCAAACCCCTTTTTATATAAAAAGATGCCCATAGATTAGGGCCCACCCTAACGGCCTAACTCTACCTGATTTCCTCCGGAGAGACCCCGTGTCCGAGGAAGGTAGCACTGAGGTGCTGGGGTTAGGACAGTAATATATGGTATCGTGCCCACTCCGCGGAGGCAGCTGAGGACTGGGAGGGTAAATGACTTCCGGCCACAAAGGTGGGGGTGAAAAATACAAGGACCCACAGTGACACATGCTCCTGTCCCACGGGGTCAGCTTCTTCGGAAAGAGCTGCTGCGAGCTGTCCAGCAGGAGGCGCCCACCTCTGAAGGGAGGAGGAGGAACGTTCCCGACACTGGGCTCTGGAGCTGGCTAGGCAGCACCCCGCATTGGCGGCCTGTGTGGCCAGATGCGGTGTTTTCTGTATTACCTGTTACAGACAAAGCCACGTGCCCTGGTGATTGAAAGCGGGCTGGTTAGAAGCCCGAGCTGTGGCTGCACCCATCGGTGGTCACCTGTGCCGCTGAGGCCGGAGGACCGCTGGCCAAGCCGGGGCGGGAGTCCTGTCCGTGTGCAGCGGCTGTGGTGGGCTGCACACCAGGTGCCGTGTGGCAGCACCGGGCTGGGTGAGTGTGGCCGTCCCTGCCGTCCAAGAGTCACACTTCTCTCTGATTCAGCTACAAAAACATTTACCGGGAACTGGAGCAGAGCCTCAAAGCTGCCGACGCTGTGGAGGACCTGCGGTGGTTCAGAGCCAACCACGGGCCCGGCATGTCCATGAACTGGCCGCAGTTTGAGGTAGGAGGAGGCTCACTGGGACCCCTAGGCCCCGCCGGGGCCGCGCCCACGGGTCAAGTCACGTACTATCTCTCGTTCCAACTCCACATCGGCCTTTGCCCTGTTCGTGAGAGCCGTTTCCCCCAGCAACGCTCGAAGACAAGCTGCTGTCCAGTTTTGTGGGGCCCCGGCACTCCTGAAGGGCTGAGCTCTAGGGAAGGTGCAGTCATGTCCTTTCCCGTTAGGAGCTGTGGTCACCTGCTGACCACTGGCACTTCCTCAGGGCGAGTCCCAGGAGCTGCAGGCATGCAGGCCCCCGACCCCCAGTTCCCTGCCCCCTGGATGTCCGGGGGGGCGGCCAGTGCACACAGCCTGCAGGCCCGGCCCCAGCTCAGCCGCCTCCGGGCCAGCTGAGGGAGCGTGGCTCAATGTAGCTCTTCTTCCCCTTCACACTGTCCTTGTTTCAGACAGTCGCTTGGCTTCAGGGTTAGCTCTCCTCTGGTCCCATTTCCATGGGACTGAGCCTCCCAGTGTCTTTACATGGAAAACGCCCGGGGGTCTCAGCTCTGCCTGCCCTAGGATTGGGCCGCCAGCCCCCCCGCCCGCCCGCCTGCCCCGCTGGATGGCAGCAGAGAAGCCCGAGGGCACTGCTCCCCGAGGGCGGGACCTCCCTCCTCGCGGTGGAGCAGGGCCTCCCGGGAGGATGTTGGAAGCGACTCTGCCTGGGACTCAGGCCGAGCGGCTTCCCCCGATTCAGTGCTGCCAGAGCCCAGGTGCAGTGCGGTCCCGCCTCACCACTCACCAGCTGACGGTGATGAGCAAGTCATTTGCCCTGTTGTGACTCAGTTTCCCCATGTCTAACATGTGCGGACAGTAGCTGTCTCCTCGGTGTCGGGTTCAGGGACCTGGGCCAGACTGGGTTTTGGCCGCGGGCCGACCACACAGAAGCCGGCTTGGCCCCGGCTTAGCTGCAGTTGCTAGGCCTCCCTGTGTGCCTGAGTTCTCCGGGGCTTCTCAGGAAGCTGCTTCAGAGGACAGCGTGGGCCCTGCACTGAGCGCCCCGCCCCCCCGTTTGTGGGACATTCCCAACAGGAAGCCGAGAGCAGGCTGTGCCCTGCCGCAGGCCCGGGCCCTTCCAGTGGAAGTGGACCTGGAGGAGGAGAAGGCGCCAGCCCCCTCCTACCCCTGACTCAGTGGGAAGAAGCGGGTGAAGACGTGTCTTGTGCACACGGCCCGTCCCCATCCTGCCCCCTCTCCTCGGGTGGCCTGTCGGCAGGCAGTACCCAAACGGCAGAATGGCCTGGCAAGGAAGGTTTGACAGGCTGTCTCCTGGGCTGGTGTCTGGCGGGAGCCCCTGGGTGGCCCCTCTCTCTGTGGGTCCGGGACCAGAGCCCACCTGGGGCGGATCATGCTTGTCTTTCTCTAATGAAATGATTTGTTTTGTTTTCCATGCCACAAGGATGAAGTAAGTTACTATTTATGGCTAACTTATTGAATCCCAAACCTGGGGTGTGCTCCTGGGGTCGTGTGGGTCCACAGCGACCCTTCCTGTCCATCAGGCTGGGCTTGAGCACATGGGCCGCAGCCACCGGGCAGGACAGATTCCCATTCCAAAGGTCCCCGAGGGCACTCAGGCTCCCGCTGAGGGCTCACCACGTTATTTCACTGGGAAGTGATAGACAGGTGGCTGGCCTGAGCTCCCCCAACTCTGTGGAAAGTAACGTTTTCTTTCTGGGTCTCGGTTTCCTCATCTGAGCAGTTGTTAGACTTGGGATTGCTAAGATGGCATTGAGCCTTCAGGTCCTGTAAGCGCAGTGAGCACAGCGGGGACAAGATGGCACCAAGTGCCGGGCGTCAGCCATGTGCACGTGCGTTTCTGGGAATCCGGTGCTCCACGGGGACTTGGTAAAGCTGGCCACTTGCCGGGGCAGAGCGGACCTTCGGAGAGGCATGCCTGGCATAGGAAGAGACAGCGCGCCGGGCAGAGTGCCCTCCTTGGAGACTTGAGTGGTCACTTAGCTTATCTGCCCTTTGGTGGTGCAGGGCCCAGCCCCGGTGGGATTTGCACCCCAGGGCTTTGTTTCCCATCGCAGACGCGCTCAGGGCCAGTTCAGGGCACAGTCCGCTCTGAGGGCCCAGCCCCCGGCCAGGCTTCAGACTGGTGTGGCCTCCCAGTGAACTCTGACTCTCTCCTCCGGTGCCGGGGAACCAGGAGTGGTCTGCAGACATGAATCGCACCCTCAGCCGGAGAGAGAAGAAGAAGCCCACTGACGGCGTCACGCTGACCGGCATCAACCAGACGGGCGACCAGGCTCTGCAGAAGCCCAGCAGGTGGGTGTGGGCACCTCCATCCTGGGCCCTCTGCTGGGCCAGGACACCGCCCGCAGCCTGGATACCGGGGCGAGTCCCCAGTGGGCTTCACAGGGTCCCCATGGGCATGTGAGCTCTTCCGGGAGGACCCTCTGCCCCCGGCTGGAGCTGCAGAAAGATCCAGAGAGCACATGCCACACCCGCTCTGGGCCCCGAGTGAAGGGAGACGCTGATCCGGTGCTGGTCACATGGGTCCCCAGTGGCGCACATGGGCAGGTGGAGGTCACTGACCGTTTCCTCCGGGCTGCTTCGGTGTCCTGGCCGGTTCGCACTTCCCCCAGGCTGTATGCGGATGCTGGGGAGGGCTGGGGGAGGGGCAGGGGGATGGGGTTGTCAGGTGTCCCCTTTCTGAAATCACCTTTGCTGAGAGCCGTGGTTATTTCTCATTGTTTGGAGAGGAGAATGGCCCTGAGGTCACTAGGCCCTCGTGGATAGTGCCTGTAGACAAGGCCTGTCCTCACCCAGGGTGCCCATCAGATAAGCACCGTCCCTCGCAGAGCTGGCTGCGGGCGGCCATCCCTGGGAGCCGTGCCCGGCTGGCCGAGGCCTCCGTCATGCCGAGAGAAGCGTCACACATGACCGTGGCTTCCGAGGAAGGGCCAGCACAGGTTCTGGGCCTTTCTATAGCCCCAGATACCGAAGCCCCGCCCAAAGCTCCCCCCACCAGGCAGACATGGCTGTCCGCTTTCAGCTGCTTTGTCACCTCTGGCCCGTGGGCGTGGCTAAGTGAGTGGGGCAGTAAGCACCTTCCCAGGGTCGTGCTGCTGCTGTGTGATGGGGTGGGGTGGGGAGGATGACTACCACCCCGGGGAGTGCCTGGCTCAGCCGCCCAGGACCAGTCCCCTCTCACAGTCAGAGGAAGGGGCCGAGGAGGGAGGAGGGCCTGGGCTCTCAGACATGTGGCCCCGGTGGGCTGCGGTCCGGTAAGATCATGGGTCACTCCGGTGGCATTTGAAGCATTTCTTCCCCACCCCTCCCATCTCTGAGCTGTCCACCCGGAGCTTGGCGTGTCTGCTCCACGCAGCCTGGACTTGGTGAGAGGTGGTGCTGGCCCCGGAGCGCAGAGTTACTCGGGGTGCGGACTCTTGGGCCTCTCTTCTCTACCATCTGTCCTGCGCTCAGCCCTGCAGCCCGTGGCTCTGGCTGTCAGCCCTCAGGCCAGGTTCGGGTCTGGTTTCTCTGGTCCTCCAGGCCGGGAACAGTAGGCAGTTGACAGTTGGACAGACGGGTTTGCTCTCTGCAGCACAAAAGGGATCCTTCCTGCCTAGACAGGGCTGTTCGGCGGCTCCCGGACTGCGCCCAGAAGACCCTTAGTAGCCAGAGGAGGGGTGCGCTGCGCTGCGGGGTCCACAGAGCTCTGGTGCGTCCCTCCTCTCCTCGGGCTCTGGGCCCCACAGGCTGAGCCCCAGCTGTCTGCCGCCAGCTCACAGGATGGGAGGACTGGATAGATCCCCATGTCCTCCCCCGGAGCTCGGATGCCCGGATGGAAATGCAAGTCTGCCTTCTAAGACACTGTGTGTGTTTACAGCCAAAGTATTGCCACGTATTTTGCTGAAACAACTTTCTGCTCATACAACATATTCCTCCCATCTGACTGTGCCTTTAGCTCTGACCCTGTGACCCTGCAGCTGGGAGCACCCAGGACCGCAGGGGCTGCCCAGCTGGGGTCCCCTGAAAGCTCTCTCTCTCCCCATAGCGACCTTAGTGTCCCGAGCGTCCCCACACGGTCAGCGCAGTCTCTGTCCAGCTACAACCCCTTCGAGGACGAGGACGACACGGGGAGCACCGTCAGTGAGAAGGAGGACATTAAGGCCAAAAAGTTGGTGAACAGATGTTTCCCTCTGGTCTTCACCTCGCTCGCTCTTTCTCCTTCTCTCTGTCCAGGGTCTCGGCCCCTTGGCACTGACAGCAGCATGAGGCCCGCAGGCGGCGGCCGGCTGCCAGCTGGACGGTCTCTGGCTTTTCCATTCCGCAGGGCGGGGGGCACCGTTAACAACCCGTGTTGCTTTCCTCTGTCCCCCATTAACCTGGTCCAAGCCTCTGCACAGGAAGACGGGCCGCGGGGTGGCGCGCTGGAGCCGCCGGCCCTGCCGCTGCCAGGAGCTGGTGCGGTCCGGCAGGCAGCCTGCCGTGCGGTGATGCCGAGGGGCCGTGAAGCTGGGGGCCGTGCTCCTGCGGAAGGAGTCCCCGGCCCAGCAGGGCCTCCCGCCTCTGGCAGCCCCGTGCTCAGGGCCCTGGCGCCCCCCTTTCTTGCAGCGTGAGCAGCTACGACAAGACGCAGAGCTACCCCACCGACTGGTCCGACGACGAGTCCAACAACCCGTTCTCCTCCACGGACGCCAATGGGGACTCCAACCCGTTTGAGGAGGACGCCACCTCGGGCTCGGAGGTGCGGGTCCGGGCCCTTTACGACTACGAGGGGCAGGAGCACGACGAGCTGAGCTTCAAGGCTGGTAGGTGGCTCCCGGGCCCCGGGAGAATGCTGCCCCCTGGGGGAGCTGTTCACTGCAGGGCCGCTACGTCCCGCTGTTTCAGTGTTGGGTCCCCCCTTCGAGAGGAGCAGCTGCTTGCCCGGCTCAGTGGTTGAGCATGATCTATGAACCCGAGAGGCCACAGTTTGATTCCTGGTCAGATGCTCGGGTTGTGGGCTTGATCCCCAGTAGGGGCATTTAGGAGGCAGCCAATCATATATATATATAAATTTTTTTTTCTTTAATATAGCAGATGCCCAATGCCAGAGCTTAGCAGGTAGTGAGGTGCCTGTGCCTTTGTCTAGAATGGTGCCTCTCGCTGGGCGAAGCCTGGCACCACAGGGCACCGGAGCAGGAGATGCTGGTCGCCAGGACCACCTGGCCCCAAACATCTTGCGCACCAGCCTGCAGGTCCCCTGAGGAAAAGCCTTTCTCCATGGGCCCACTGGCGGAGCCGCCTTGCCCGGAGCCGGGTGGCTTTTGGTGAGCCCTGGGCAGCAGAGGCCCACCTTAGGGGTGGCACCTCTCACACTCTCCCTGTAGCCTTGCTGTGTCCACGTTTATCACCAACACAGCTCTGTTGCGAGGAGCCGAAACCTCGGTTTTATGGCACAGCCTGAGTCCTGACCTCAGGGCCCTGCGTGCATTTTCTGGCCTGTGACTTTTCTCTTCTCTATTTTCATTGTTTTAAAAATCTTTATTGTTGAAAGTATTACATATGTCTGCTTTTCCCCCCTATCGGCTCCCTCCAGCCCCACCACCCCACCCAAGTCCTCATCACCCCACTGTCTGAGTCCGTGGGTTATGCATCTACGCATACAAGGGCTTTGGTGATTACCTCCCACCCGCCCTCCCACACCTTCCCTCCGGATTCCACACTCTGACCCGTGCTCCCACGTCTCTGGGCCCACTCCATTCATCAGTCTGTTTTGTTAATTAGATTCCACATGTGAGTTGGGCCCAGAGTGGGGGCTAAGATGTGAGGGAGACTGACCGGTGGTCAGGGTGTCACGTGCTACTCACCAAGGCCCTCCGTCTTGCCCTGCAGGGGATGAGCTGACCAAGATAGAGGACGAAGATGAGCAGGGCTGGTGCAAGGGGCGCTTGGACAATGGGCAGGTCGGCCTGTACCCGGCGAATTATGTCGAAGCGATCCAGTGACGGCCCGGTGGGCTGGCTGGCGGAGGGTGTGGTCCCAGGAGCTCCGTTAGCCTTCGGCCTGGGCAGCACTCCGGCAGCTCCAGCCGGCCGTGGCGTCCACTCCCTTTCCTGCAGAAGATGATGGTTCCATTGCTTTGGCTTCATGGTGTCTCTTGAAGACAGACGAGCCGGTCATTTCACCTGGGAGTTGGCAGCCTTTCCACAGTGCCGATGGAGGGATCTGAGCACCGGAAGACAGTACACGACATCCGCCCTTGCCGCCCGCTCCCTGCTCAGTGTGCATGTGGCTATCATGGATCTCAATATTCCCGGCCTGTCTTTCCGCCGCCTCCGCGTCTGGTGGGTTACCCCGATTCTTGTTCCACTGACTTCTTTCTCCGATGCGCTTCTCACCCGCAGCTTAAGTGAACAAAATGCCATTTTCTGGCCTTTACTTAGGCCGTGTACAGCTGTACTTTGTGGTACCTGTTCATCCATTCACTTAGGCGTAAGTTAAGGCACAGATTGCCGTATACCAGGCATGAGAAGTGCATCCTGCTTCCGTGTTGTGCTGTTACTTGCCCACCACTGCCCGGGCCGCCGGGTCCATTCAGACAGGGCATGAGTCAGGAGACCACGGTAGAGGTGGGCGCGCGTGTGGTTGGGTTCCTCCCGCGAGCATGGGTGTCGGGAATAACTGTAGTGCTCCCCGAGGCTCCATATTTAAAAACTTATCTCCACTCTCTTCATGCTGAAAGCTTGACTCTTGCAAATGGATAATCTGTCAGTGATGTGGAAGGCGAACCTGAAAAGACTCGCTTTTCAGACACAGGCACCTGTAGACCAAGACAAAACACTTTACGTTGGGCAGTCTTGTCCTGGTGTATCTATATATTTTATTTGACATTCAGAGAATCTACAGAGCTTGTCTACTGTTTCCATGAGATTTTAAAGGCTCTTGACAGTGGATTTAATTAGTAAACTGCTTTAGACCGTGGCCTTCAGGCCTAGGCCTGGCTGGTGGGCTGGGCGGGCCTTCTCCAGGCTCGGATGCGCGCCAGGGCCTCGGGCCCCACAGTGGACACTGCCGGAGGGACATAGGTGCCACAGGCCAGCTGCAGTCCGCTGCTCACTCGCCTGCGTCCCTCCGTGGCAGAGCACTGTAAGCTCCGGCCGCAGCAGTGCGGGTTCCCGTCCCCGTGTCCCTCCGGAGCCCACAGCTGGGGCTCACCCATAGCGCCAGGGTCTCCTCGGAGTGCCCTCGGTCATCAGGGAGCAGACGTGCCGCGGCAAGACGCCACACTGTAATCAGGTGGGGAGGGGGGGAAAGCTTTTATTTTGTGTATCAGATGGAGAAATGGCTGCCGCCATATAAGCTATGCATTTACTCATGTTCCAGTGAGCGCAACTGCTTGGAAGTGGATGTGTGTACGTGTTTATCTTGAAGACTTACCAGCAGAAATCCTCATTCCTTTGCTACAGATTACCAAAAATTGTCACGTCTTTTCGGTTCAGAAGTTTCTTTAAATGTATAGTATTTTAGGGAAAAGAATCAATAAACCATTGATCTCGTGAGTGTGATGTCTCTGTGCGTGTGCCTCATGCTCACATTAGCACGCGCGCTGTCTGTGGCACTTACAGCTTCGGGGCCGGGTGAGAGCCACGCAGGTTGCTGCCCAAGGGCCGTCCCCGCCCCACTGCCCCTGCTATATCCGAGGCGGTGGGATGTGAGGCCTGCGCCCCTGGGCTTTCTCTTTCCCCAAACTGCCCCGGTGTGGCCTGGGCTTCCCCTGTGGGCCAGACCAGAGTCCACGCCTGGAGGGGCTTCCCTGAGCCGTTTCCTGAGCACCTACTTTGCGCTGGGCCCTGTCTACTCGTGCACCTTCTGCACAGAGCGTGCCCCTCCCAACGCCTGGGCATGGGTGAGTTTCCCCATTTCCCTTTGGCACGACAAGGAAGGGGCTCCAAGGGCAGACTCATCAGAGGAGGCCCAGCAGAGTGCACCCCAAGTTACATCCCCTCAGACCCTCCACACTCACGTGGGAGGAGAAAGGCCTGAGTGAGATGAGAAAGATGAGACGGCTGCCGTAGCCACAATCAGCAAACCTGGTGAAGCCGCCCGGAAAGCGCCCACCGGGGCACTGGGCGCTCGGAGCCAGGAGTGAGGTAGCAGCTGCCACTGCAGTCGGTGCCCATCTCATGCTGGATCCCTGCCACCTCGCCGCCTGGTCTGATGGTGACGAGGCTCCTGCTCTCCACTTCTGAGGGGGAGTGGGAGCCCCTGGAACTGCCCACTGCCACGGAGAGACGGAGGGCAGGCTGCAGGGAGGGCCCAGAGCAGGCTGGGACACTGAGCACTGTGCCCTGTACGCCAGCCCGTGGGGAGAGGGAGAAGACCCAGGTCCAGGAACTCCAGCTCAGTGAATCCCCACTGTCCCGACGGCAGTAACTCAGAACCCCATCTGCAGATTCTTCAGGGCGGCCCTCCGCTGACTGGTAAAGAGCCAGGGGGCGAGCGGAGGGACCCTCAAAAGCCGGACAGAACCACCGCTGCTCAGCGAGGCCCTCTTCTCAGGCTCCTGTCGATCCCAGAGCCCCTGCAAGGAAGGGCCCTCACTGCCCACCTGCCCACTCCTGTTCTGGCCCTGAATCCCCCCTCTGGGCCTCAGTTTCCCCAGGAAAGAGTGGGGCCTGCCTTCCCGGGAGATGGGGGGAGGGGTAGAGTAAGGAGGGAAAGGCCACAGGAACTCGGGAGGTGGTAACATTAGTGTGGTTGTGAGTGACACCCCATTCCCCTCCCTACAGCCACCCTGGCCACCCTCCATACAGGGCCACCACGTCAAGTCCTCTCCCACTCAGCCCTTCCCTCCCTACAGCCGCAGCCTGGGCCAGCTTCCCCTCTCCCCCTGGATCATGGCTGGCCCTCCAGGAATTATCAGCAAACAAACCAGAGGGACTGAGCGACCTGCCTCAGGCCTCACCGCAGACTGGGCGGGTGGGGGTTTGAACTCTGGTGCCCAGCTCCCAACCTCAGGTGCTGTTGTCTAAAGCACCGGCTCTCAAACACCTGGAGGGCCTGTTACAACCCCGCTTGCTAGGCTGAACCCCAGAGTCTCCGAGTCACTAGTTGCAGTGGGGCCCAGAGTTTGCAAATCTGACAAGTCCCAGGAGATGCTGAGTCAGGACCACACTTTGAAAACCACTGATGCAAATAGCAAAGTCAGAGGTGCCAAAATGCCAGCCACCTACGTGCTCCTGGATTTGTTCAGATGACCAGGGGGAGTTAGCGGGCAGCTACAGAGGTGTGTCCCACCAGGATCAGGGGGCACCTTGTGTCACTGTTGAGATGCCTGTACCCAGGCAAGCCCCTTCAACTCCCGGACCTTGTTTCCTCGTCTGGAAAATGACTCCTGCCTCCCGCTGAGGTCAAGGGTATAAAAGTGCTTGTTCTGAAGGTCGCCTCAACCCCAATGCCATCCCAGCTCACGCTGATGATAACCAAAGTGTGCAGACCCAGGTGGAGACGCCACAACTTCCTCAACCAGTACCTGTGCATGAATGCTTCCTACAAGCCAGAGTTGCAGCCATGTATGAAACTGTATGTAAGAAGGCTGGATTTTCCATACCAAAATCTGACACATTTTGTTTCTTCACTGAAACTTAATGACAGACTTACAAAGGCATAAAGATTAAGTCAATAATTAAGAGCATGGACTGTGAGGTCATATTTCCTTCACTTAAACTTGGTTCCAACTGTGTGACCTTAAGTAGCTGTGTGACCTTGAGCATACTTAATTTCTCTAAGCCTGGGTTTGCTCATCTATAAAATGGGAATAGTAGTAAGCATTCATATTTCACTTGGTGGCAGGCCCTGTTCTATTATAAACTGTAACATTTATTAACTTGTTCAGTCCTCACCACAGCAGTCCCATGAACTAGGTAAATATTATTCCTATTTTTGTTGTTAATTCCTATCCAAAGATACTTTTCCCCCATTTATTTAATTTTTGGAGAAAGTGGGAGGGAGGGAGGGAGGGAGAAGGAGGGACGGGGAGAGAGAAACATCACTGTGAGAGACACATCAACTGGTTGCCTCCCACAGGCACTCTGATCGGGGCTGAGGATGGAATCTGCAACCCAGGTACGTACCCTTGACCAGGAATCAAACCCTTGACCCTTCTGGTGCCTGGGGTGATGCTCTAACCACTGAACATACAGGTCAGGGCTATTATTTTTTAGACAAGGAAGCTGAACTATCTAGAAGTTGGATAACTTGCCAGTCTAGATTCAGAGTCGGGCAGTGCAGTGCAGGGCCTGCCCACTAGGCTGTGCTGTTGGATGAAGAGGGCACAGGCCTCAGAGGACAAGGAGGTGCCTGCCCCCCGTGGTGCTCTTTTAAGGGATGCCAACCAGGGCGGGAGCTGCCTGACCTGAGCCTGCCTCCGTGCTCTGGCGCCTCATCACACACTCTCCCTACCCCTCGCAGCTGCTGGTATGTCTGTCTCTCCCACTGACTAGCAACCTTGTCTCTCCAGCCCAAACTAAGAAGAAAAAATGAGATCAATTTCAGACCAATCAATGAAACTCAGATTACATATGCTCCTTGACTTATGATGGGGTTACATCCTGATAAACACCCATCGCAAGTTGAAAATATCCTAAGTAAAAAATGCATTTATTGTAAACTAGAGGCATATAACAGTGAGGTCCCTTGGCCTGGCCTGCAAGGATCAGGCCAAAACCAGCTCTCTCACATCCTCCAAGGGGTCCCGGATTGTGAGAGGGCAGTTCTTGGTTGATGCACCCAGGAATCAGGCTCCCTCCTCTCTGAGAACCACAGCTACCAAGTCACTGCAGCTCAGCAGCTCCTGCATTGAGTGTCTGCCCCCTGGTGGTCATTGCCCATCATAGCTACCAATGGGAGTTGAATGGTAGGACAGTCACTTAGGCTTTTGTATATATATGATAGATTATATGATTGTCTAACCATTATGCTATACACCTGAAACTAATAAAAAAAA